AGGACATACGCCTTCAGGTTTCATATAAGACGAGCCATTGATTAAGATCTGTCTAAACGTTAGGTTTGTTTCCAAAGTGAGGCGCCGTTATCTCAAGTGAACGTCCCGTTCCGTAATCAGTCTGAGGCGGACCAGTGGTGTCCATTCCTCGAGACACTGACCGACGCGGAGATGGAGAAGAAGATCAGAGATCAGGACAGGAATACCCGGCGAATGAGACGACTGGCCAACACGGCCCCCACCTGGTAGTCATCCTTAGCCTTACTTTTGTTATTGAATTTCCATTTAAATGATATACTAATCGTTGAATTTATGCATTAATTTGTTGATATATTTCACAGAAAGCACACATAAAACAGTACTTCAATGAAAACCCCAATAATTTAGACGCTTTTCATATTAAAATGCTTTTAGAAATCCAAAAACCAATGCTTAAAATAATCATCAATTCATTGCAATAAATCATTCATTAAAATCACTCATAAATCGCTGCCATTAATAATGGGATCGATTGACTCGATTCATGCAATCACTCATTCATTCAATGCATTCATTTGTAAGTAATCTCTAATTAAATGCTAAAACAAAATACTTTTTCACTCTTTCTCTTGATTTTGATAATAATCTTTCGCTTCAAAACAAAACCCATTTCGCTTTCAAATCATTAGTTTATTATTTATTTTTGTCTAACAATTTGTGAATTAAAAACCAAAATTAATGTCTAATTATATTTATAATTAAATAAATTTGTTTACATATTATTATAATCTCTAAATTGTTTGTCGACTAAGTGTTCAATAAATGTGTTTTGAATCCGTAATCAGCGGTCCATTCAGTTCTCGTACAAGTGTTTGATGTCTTTCCACTGTTTCTGTAACGCAATGCAAGTGATGGTCAGTCTATGATCACGAGTGTCCCGTGCGATGGCACGCATGACATACCCCTCGGTTGACGCTATCGAAGATTGAATCGCTGATCATAGAGGCGCCCCTCTCGTAGAAAAGGGCCCCCAATATCACCACAACCATTGTCGTGGACGTCCTGTTCAGTACACTTCGGTATAGCGTCGACACCAGTCCAGCCATCACTCACTCCGCTGTCCTATCCATAGATCATAGCATTAGTGGTGTGTTTGTGGCCACCACTCGACCACTCACTCAATACTTACCACTAATTGTTTGGATAATTAATTCAATTCAATTGCTTAGCAAACCGTGGTCAAATGTTTTCACATCCAATCACACGTTCGTATATAGTGTGATACTATTTGAAGGTTAAGGCACTCATTATTTATTGGATTTCAGATATTTAACAGTGGGTATGAGTTACTAATATAAGATTTAGTTTTGTTAAAATAAATTTAATTCAATTATTTTAATGATATTTTTGTTATAACTGAATGTTTGTATTACTAAATTATTAATTTACTGAAAAGGGAGTCATATTTGTTACGATAACGTAATTTGTTAAAAATTATTACCCAGCCTTTTCTATGGTAAATCACATTAACATATAACGTTACAACGCGAATAAAATAAAAAACCCCAAACTATATGTCATATGATATGCACATAACTTACGGCGCCTTCGGCGCTTTGTTTATGTGTTGAACGTATTCGGTGCTGTAAAACTTGCAAATGTATGAATAAGGTTGTTAAATGACACCACTTATATTTGCTGTATGCCTAATCGAAATGACCTAACTCATTTTATTAAACGGGTTTGATGCAAAAACAATGATTTATAATTAATATTTCATGTAATATATGATAAAATATGAGTTGATATGCTCAGGGACAATGAATTGGTAATAAATGTTTATGAGTTATATCTCCTGAATAGAGAGCCATAAAAGCTTTGTTGGAGTGTTCGGCGCCAGTAATGCGAGCACTGGTAGACTCAGTGCCAGTACAGCCAGTATAGGCTCACTGTATACTGAGTGTAGGGTTGAGTGACTGACACATACGTGCTATAAATTGTGGGCCATTTTGGCACTCATTAGTCAATACGATATGCTTTGCAGTGATATTGCAATCAAATGACTGTTCATATGATAAGTGCTGTAAGTGTTGAGCACTTGTGTTGTGAACACTCAACGGATGTCTCATTGTATTGACATTAATATGCATTCAATTATCAATTGTAATGTAATTGTGTTCACAAAACGATAGCACAGTGTATGCCATGAGATGTGATGTGAAGCCATGATCACCACAACTACGACCACAAGTATGTCAGCGATTGGTGCGATGCTTGCGGTGACAGTGATGTGTTGGACACTGGCGTCCGTGTCATCGGCGGTCATCGCATACAATGCCCTCAATTACCACCAAATCAGTGATGTCTGTGATTGGGAGGGCAGTGGCTCTATAGAGACTGATTCGGACCGAGTGGTGGTTCCCGTATACCTGCGCTGCTCTCACGGATCCATTAAGTGGTTGTATCCGAAGGGAGGCCTCCGAGTGGTTCTTCGGTACAGTACTTCCAACCGCGAGTTCAGGGGCTGTATAAGAGTGGCGCGCAATACGAG